CCGGACGCCAACTTTTCACTGACTGCACCGGGAGACCTGCAGCCAGCGCGGCCCTTTTTATCCTGGGCGACGGCCGAGCCAGTATGAATTTTTCTGAGTTGTGGCATCATCATGTTTCCATGAGTGTGAGGACCTGGCAGGTGAGGCGCATGCGCCACATCCACCTGTTGCACTGGGTGCACATGGTGATCCTCTGATCCATGGGGCACCACGACCGTTGGACTGTCGAGAGCCCTTTATCGGTGAAGTGCCCAGTACCGCCTTAGGGAAGCAGCTCGATCTTCCCATGTCACCCATCCAGGTTGTGCCCATGCTGACACTGCTTAACTTGGTGATCGAAGGGGCTCCGATTCAAGCGCTGCGCCACGCTGCTGCCTATTATTATTATATATTCTTTTTTTTTTACACAGCGTCACATCTGATAATTGGGACATCTGCGCTAAAGATAGATTCGAATCAGCCCATGCCCATGTCAGGGAATGTAGAAGTTGCTTGTGTTGCCATGATTCCAGCATAGATTCTTCCTTCCCTTTTAATTTGATAATGTTTTACTTTTACGTAATTTGAACAACGCGCAGTTAAGCTTGAAAGCATGTCCGAAACACATTTGAAAGATGATACTTTCAGAATTTGGTAGGAACAGCATTATTTGAGTCGCCTAAAGGAATTCATGATGTGCCTACACATCTACACTACATCTACACTGAAAAGAAGTATGTATTTTCAATTTTTTTTTCTTTTAATTATATGTGGCACTTGTGTGCATTGAAAGTACATCTGAATACGAGGTCATCATTTTTGGGCGATTCTGTAGACTGCTTCCAAGCAAATGGTCAACATTTAATGCAGAGAAGGAACAGATATTGCTTTAAGCGTTGAGTTAGAGAGGGAGTTGTCGCCTCATGTTATTCCTTGATAGAGGCTCTTTGCTGAGTTACTCGGGAAACTTGCAGAGAAGAGAACAACAACTCACCAAAGTGCACTGGAGGGCCTGGAGGACACATATGTAAATGCACGGACAATCTCATACCCAGATTTTGCACTCGAGCAATCAACTGTCACTTTGCCATCCGAATCATCCATGCACTTGCAGGGCAATTTATTTTGGGTGGGGCATCCCACTTCCGCAGACACCAGTGATAGGTAACAAAGCAAGATCAAGGTCCATAATGAAATCATCTCAGGATTTGCCATTGAAGGATGTCAGGAAAAGGTTTATGGTGTTGGGAATAGTTTTGTCGGGTGATGGAAATGGATACATTGAATCAAGAGTCTTCCTGTCGGAACGGAAGGATGTGCATGACAGCATCCACGTCATGAAGGAAGTGGCCATGCGTCAGTTTTATTAGACGTGATGCCAACTAATGTTAACGAACTCGTTTTTCTTCAGTTCGAAATTATTGTAGGAATATATACTGGTGTCCAAAAGAAATTTTACAATGTAATTTAGAGCTGGGTGGCAAAGTAGTAAGACCAGTTCTGATATGATAGCAGTATATCTGCCCTTTGTTGAACAAGTCACCACAGAATAGAACAGTTTATACGTGTCCTCGTTAACCTTTGAGTGCTGTGCTCGTGCGACGTCAGGAAATTGTTTAATTGAGTTTCCTCCAGGCCATATGTAAAGTGGAGGTTTCCATGGACAAAAAATGGACTGATTCTACCTTCTTCTTCTGATGTGCATTTCATACCGTCTCCGAAAAAATGAGAGATATACCAAGGCTAACACAGCAACAAAAGGACGTGGCGATAAAAATGCTCCCAGGAGGGCGTAACACAACATTAAGTCGCGCGGCGACTCGGATGAGCTCGTGTGGCCCAAACTGTATTGAATCAAAGCTTCATCAAAACTGGCACAACACTCAACTTAGAGAATCGCTACTTTTCTCAAGGACAAGTCTTCTGCCTGCTTGTTTCAAGATGATCCAAGATAGCGTAACGCATTTTGCGTTACACCCTTTTGAAGCATTTTCTTCGCCCCTTCCTTTCGTGCAGCGTTGGCCTTGGCATATCTCTGATTTTTCCTGAGAAGGTATGGCATGCACAGTGGAATCAGGTCATTCTTCGTCCATGTAAATCTGAACTTTACATATGACATGGAGAAAATCCAATAACGCATTTTTCTGTCATGGCACCCTCACAGCATTCAAAGGTTAACGAGCGCATGATTATAATGTTCAATCTGTGGTGACTTTTTCAGCAAAGGATATATATTATTACAACTACTCTTACTACTACGCGAGGATGCTCTAAATTACCTTGTAACGTTATTTTTGGAGGCTAATCTTTCAAGGTATCTATGTAGTTTAGTGGTATCCAAGAGGTGATTGCACCCATTTGGGTACCACGTGTCGAGGTCGAGAGTGGCTTAATTTTACTCCTCTTGAAGCTAAATATTTCTATATTTTTGTTCTTTTTTCGCATAGGGTACATTTCCCCAGAGATTTTGGTCCACCGTCAGCGATTTGGCTGAAATTTGGTGAGGAGGTAGCGTTTGACCGAAAAGCGGAAAAACCAATATGTTTTTTTACCAAAGGTGTGTCCTTGGCTAGGTCACAAAATGTAGATCTATTTTAGCTGGTCAGGCTGACCCTTATCAGACTTTATTCAATAACTCCTTAGCTATTTGTCATAGAATGTTCATTTAGGACTCCTTTTAAATTTCTCTTTCAGTTCTATATTGTCCATTTATTCCAAGCTCATATTAATGTAAGATCATTTTATATGAAAAATCAAAGGCATTTCACATTCGACCCTTCTTATAAAAAATGTCATGTTTAAATGTCACCAAATTTACTAGATAACACGAAAATATTATGGTAATGAAGCTCGCGAATTTTCCCCCGCCCCCGTTCCCCGCGATCTCTCCCTCTCCCGAGATTAACTCAGTCATCCAGCTGCTCCTACAGCAGATGGAAGGCATCATCTCCACCCTGGGTGCGCTCGGCTCTATTGTTTCCTTCGGCCACACCCCCGTCGTCCTTTCCTCTCCTGCTTAACAATGTTCTCTCATACAGTTACTCTACTTCACCTTAACTGTAACGGCTTCCGAGGCAACCGCCCTGAAATCCTGCAATACATAGAGCAAACTAATCCCACCATTATCTGCCTCAGCGAACTTAAGTGTATAAAGCCACCTCTAATTAGGAATTACTACTGTCACAAACCTTCCTTTCAGAAAAGGCCGTACTGTGGGGGTTCAGCAGTTTACATTCTCAGTAACCTGGACTCAGAATTAATTAGCCGCTCTTGGCAAACTGACTCGGAAATAATTGGAGTTAAAATTAGTTTTTCCCTAACAACTCTCTCTGTCTTCCATGCTTACTTTCCTCCTGATTTCCCTTCTTCCCCTTCTGATCTTGACTTCATCAACCAAATTAACGGCCCTTCGCTGCTCCTAGGCGATCTAAACGCCCACTCTCCTGATCTCTCTTTCTGCTCGGAAACCAATACAAGTGGTAACATACTCAGCCACTTCATAGCCTCCAGCAGCTTCTCTATTTGAAATGACGACAGCCCCACCCACCACTGTCCAGGACTAGGAAATTCGTACAGAATTGACCTACCACTGGGCAATGCACAGTTCCTCCCTTTTTTCCAATACATCTCTATAGGAGAAGACGTAGGGAGCGAGC